TTTATAATGCAACAACTCCATGCAAAGCAAATGCTTATGAAAATGACATATGTTGATACACTGATGCTCAGCACATCTCCAACCACCCTAATTCAAGCAGGTTCTTTCCTGGATAGTTGATAGCAATTGACCTGAGAATAAATTTTTGAAGGGGCTGCATAGCCCATATGAAGTTGGGAGGGTATCTGGGGAATGAGGGTATATCTTACAATGGAGATGAGGATAGCTGAAGGGGAATAGACATGATGAGGAAGAAGCACGTCTGCTGTAGCCTGTGCTTGTACCATAGCATCCTGCTCTGTAATCTGCTTCTTGACTATAATGCAGCTTGACTGTACAATTTTCCTTTTACAAACCCCTAAAAGGCATTTTCTAGTTCCTTACTTTGCCTTGCATTTTAGGAACTCCACAGGAAAGGGACTGTGTGGCTGTTTGGGGGAGCTGGTGCATGCGATGACATGAGGGCCAGAAGGGACCAAAGTACTATCTTGGAAAGGGCAGGGGAAGGTTTCTAGGCAGTTACCATCTGGGCCTCTTAAGCCCCAGCGGAGCACAGCTTCATTAGGAGCTGAGCTGGATGGATAGTTTGATGCCTTCTGCAACACCCACTCCCCAACACCCACAAACGCTTCCTCCAAGACAGTTCGTCAGCACCTGCCAGTGCATATCTTCCGATTATCCTAGTTTAGGAACTACGCAGGTTAACAATTAAAAAAAAAAATTAACATTTCTGCATGATTCTCAGTTTGCAACAAAATTAAGTGCAGTTGCCATGTAAAATGTACCTTGCTGCATAAATTAGCTTTTAATGTGCTAAATAGTACAACCCTTCCCTGTGTCTCTAGTTTTACCCCCATCTCCAGATCTTTCAGCCAAACCATCAATTTCACACTGGAGCGCATGGTGAAACTACAGCTGCTTGGCATGAAATACTGCTTCTCACAGAATTATATCTGTATTTTGCTGAAAATGAGGATGCATGGCATGCACTAAACCAACAGAATATGGGTAATGCAGTAGTGTGCATGACTCGCATTCGTGAAAAACTTCACTAGAAGCATTTCCTTAAAGAGATGATATATGGTAGTTTCCCTTCTAAAACATGGTTTTATTAAAATAACTAATCCTAAACTAGTGCACAATAGGCTACCACAAATGCCTCTGCCCACAATCTTGTACTCAAGTTATGGAACCAAAAATTGAAACACATTACTGAATGCTGCATTTGCATCTGTCTACCGAATAATGTAGCTGTTGGCTCTGTTTCTGTAGCATTAAAGAGTCTTGATACAGGGTGACCTTAATTGTATATTTTTTCCTTAGGAAAAAAAACATTGTTGCTAACTACTTTCACCTTATCTCCTCCTCCCCTTCCCCCCACACCCCCAGTTTCCTAAAGTTTTATGATTTGTGTACAAATATAGGTTTTAGTTCAGATTTCGGAAAGTTTGGAGAAATATCAACTTGATTTTTTTTCAAATTGATAAAAATATCAATTTAATAAAAAGCACTTTTTAAAATAGTATTAAAATAGTAATTTTTTAAAAATTATTTAAAACAGTTGTTTTCTGGATCCCATCTGTTTAGAAGAGTCCTTTTGGTGGGCCTGATGGCAACAGACCTAAATTTGCAGAGTCCCATTTTTTTCCCTGTCTTTCTCCACCTAAGCTTGTCTGGTGCCCCTAATTTCAGCTTTGTTTCTGATGTTACTGCTAAATACATTGCCTACCCCTGCTCCAAAGGAATCTATGGCATGTGTGCCGAAGGCGGCGCGCAAGCTGATTTTCAGTGGCACTCACACTGCCTGGGTCCTGGCCACCGGTCCGGGGGGCTCTGCATTTTAATTTAATTTTAAATGAAGCTTCTTAAACATTTTTAAAAACCTTATTTACTTTACATATAACAATAGTTTAGTTATATATTATAGACTTCTAGAAAGAGACCTTCTAAAAATGTTAAAATGTATTACTGGCACGTGAAACCTTAAATCAGAGTGAATAAATGAAGACTCGGCACACCACTTCTGAAAGGTTGCAGACCTCTGCTTTGGAGCCTGGGGAAAGAGCTGGCAGTGAGCTTCACCAACAGAGCAAGGCCTGGAAAACAGCAATCACATGTCCTATGTTGTTATGCTAGTATACGAGACAAAATGCAAGATGTTGATGGTGATTATAAACAAAACTATTAAATGCACAGAGAGAACCAACTTTTTTGTCATTTCTCCATTCTAATATATTAAGGGTTAATTGTAACAATATTATATATACTTTCAAATAAAAATATGATTTTCAAGTCTGTCCTTTTAAAGGGAATTATAAGAATAATAGTTAGATTCATAGAGTCCAAAGACAGAAGGGACCTCTGCAATCATCTAATTTGACAACCTCCACAGGTATAGAACTTCCACCAAATAATTCCTAGAGCATATTTCAGAAAAACATCTAGTCTTGATTTAAAGATTCACTTGGCACTTTGTAAAGTAAAAACAGATTTGCTACTTCAAATTCATTATAAATTGGAATTCAGAAAGGTCCCGAGAAAGGAATTATGAGACCAACTTGCTTTTCTGGTTAAATGTACCACTTTCTTGCAGTCCAGGTGCAAAAACTATTCCTCAACACTTTGTCTAATGTGACAAAGGCAAAGAGGATGCCATGTCGCTTTGGTATCTGAAGCAGAAATGTTAAAACAAAGATTCCAAGAAGGCCCTATTGGTTCCAGTCTAAATTTAATTCCAGTTTCAGATGGATGAGAGCAATGCAGGTATGGGTCATGGAGCAATCTAGTCTGAAATACACTACTCCATGGAAAACTACACTCAGAATCCTGGTGTCAACTGACAAACCAAGTGCCCACTATATCACCAGTTTGAGCTCCCAATAGCTATGTCAAGTTTAGTGGCTCAGTCACCTTGAGCTAGAAGTTGTGCGTGGGGACAGGAGTCAGATTAGGTGTAACACAGTTGTTCCTGGAGGTGAGGTTACAAGGTACTAGCCACCAGCCCAAAGGAGACATGAAAGCATGTGTTAATAGGGGAGGATTCTGCTATGAGCAACCTACAGCCACAGCCACAGCTCCCACCTCACAAACCTTCCCCTGCAGGTGGAACTGAGGCCTCTGAACCCCCAGGAGCAGCAACAGCCAAAAGGCAGAGAGGGAGCATACAGTGTAACTGGCTCAGTGTACCTACCCAGAAGACCAAGGCTTGCTGCCCTGGTGCCTGGGGGAAGAAGGGGTCTCTTTGCCCCTCCTTGTCCCTCTCCTAGGGTGACCAGATGTCCCAACATTATTGGGACCACCCTGATATTAGAGGCTTTGTCTTATATATGCAACTATACCCACTACCTCAAAAAAAAAAATTCCTGATATTTCACACTTGCTATCTGGTCATCCTGCCTGCTCTCCCTGGGGGAAGAAGCTTGTTCCTCAATCTTAGAAAAAAGAACAGGAGTACTTGTGGCACCTTAGATACTAACAAATTTATTAGAGCATAAGCTTTCGTGGACTACAGCCCACTTCTTCGGATGCATATAGAGTGGAATAAATATTGAGGAGATATATATACACACATACAGAGAGCATACATCAACCTCAATCTTAGAGAGTGCCCGGTTTTGTCCCTGCCCAGCTATAAGGAGCTTTGGGTCCAGACAGAACAGAGCCTGTTACCTTTACTGGGGGCCAGCCAAGGCCCCTCGCCCAAGCATTGCTGCTAGGCCTGCGGCAGGCACCCCCTGAGCTGCAAACATTTGGGTTTGCTAGGCTGATGCTGTCCAACAACCCCCCTCATTTCCTCCTTGCCTCTGCTTGTGAGTCCCCACAGAGCCGGCCGGCAGGAAAGACCCGCTCTGCCGCCGGAGGAGAGAGGTCACGCGCCCTGAGGTAGGAACAGCTTGCTCGGGGCAAAGGGGGAAGCCTCCGCCTCCCTTATGCCCGGGAAGACAAGAGAGGGTGGCCCGCACACACTGTTCCACCTGGATTATCCACGGAACCTTCAGCACTCCCCGCCTAACAGGTGGGGTGACTTGGGCCTGTTACACTGTGAAAATCGCGCCTGTCAACGTGGGTGTCTAGCTTTTCCCTAGTTTAATGAAATCGTTATTTGGGATCCTCCCCTCCCCCCGCCCTAAATCTTTTCTCTGACAGGAGCTCTAGCAACACGTTAATTTATTTCTATGAATCGAGCTAACTGCTTCTGACAAATCTATTACAAAAGATATCTCCCTCCTAGCACTGCCTGTGTGATTCAGTCACTGAGAGAAAACACACGTCAAGTGGAAGGGAAGCTGGAGCTAGATGGAGAGATGGATGCCTTGTGCCATGCTTTTCTGATAATCTCCCGCATTACAGCACACAGATCAAATATTTATTTACTGAAGAATCAGTAAACATGACTGCAAATACATTAGGGCACTTCAGCTGTATAGCTTATAATTATTTCAAAACTCAAAAGAGATGAGACATTGTTCCTGTGTACATATGCTGCCTGAACTGAGTTTTATGGGTGTTTTATTTTTCCAACGCAGCATTTACCTTTGAGGGGAGGGAGTTACACTGGAGGATGGGGGAGTATATCTCATAAAGGATTGCGTCCCGTTATTGTGCACTTCATATTAGCCGGAGAAGCCAAATTCTGGAACTTCTAAGGCCTCCAGCTTGTGGTTTGTATGCTTTTTACATTGAAATCGTTACACTCAGAGTGAATGCTGACACTTGGGCTCATTCTGAACCCCAAAGTCTCCAGCATCTTATCTCTTTCCTTCTTCACAAAAAGGGTGAAAAAAATTAGGAAATCGCAGGTCTTTGATTTTTTTTTCCTATCCGTAGTCACAAAACTCGAAAGGTCACACTGTAATGAGCACTCATAGCAAACACAGTCCCCCCCCCCCCGCTTCCCTTCTATCCCACAATAAAATCATCTCCTTCAATTTGCCATGATCGTCGCGACCAGGAGCCAGGTGATTATCCTAATTAATGTCTATCTAATTAAATTACTGTCAGCGGTTAACCAATGGCAGGAGCCGTTTCATCCGCTCCACAAGCAGCAAGATCAAAAGTGAGTCTTTCCTTATTGCTGCATAGTGTCAATTGGCCAATCTCTTCTCCCAGGGAAAAAAAAAGTAAATCAAACGTTGGGGAAGCATTTGGTGGGAGAAGTGCTTTCTGCCTCGTGAGGGTCCCAGGATGTCTAGTTTATGTTAAGAGGAGCCCTTTAGAACCCGAGACTGAAGGGTTATTAGATTGGTGCTAGAGCTATGCAGCTGGAGCATTGTCTTTCTCCCTCTATCATGCTCTCCAAGAAATTTCTCAATGTGAGCAGCAGTTACCCACATGCAGGCGGATCTGAGCTTGCCTTGCATGATCATCCCATTATCTCGACCACTGACAACCTGGAGAGAAGTTCACCTCTGAAAAAAATTACCAGGGGGATGACGAATCAGTCAGATACAGACAATTTTCCTGACTCCAAGGACACACCAGGGGACGTCCAGAGAAATAAACTCTCTCCCGTCTTGGACGGGGTCTCGGAGCTTCGTCACAGTTTCGATGGATCTGCTGCAGATCGCTATCTGCTCTCTCAGTCCAGCCAACCCCAGTCCGCTGCCGCTGCGCCTAGTACCATGTTCCCTTACCCCAGCCAGCATGGACCCGCTCACCCAGCCTTTTCCATCGCCAGTCCAAGCCGCTACATGGCTCACCATCCTGTGATCACCAATGGAGCTTACAACAGCCTCCTGTCCAACTCTTCTCCACAAGGTTACCCAACGGCAGGCTACCCTTATCCCCAGCAGTACGGCCATTCCTACCAAGGGGCGCCTTTCTACCAGTTTTCCTCCACCCAGCCGGGGCTGGTGCCCGGCAAAGCTCAGGTCTACCTGTGCAACAGGCCACTCTGGCTGAAATTTCACCGGCACCAGACAGAGATGATCATCACCAAACAAGGGAGGTAAGCGGCACTTGCTGCTGCTGCTGCATGGAGCGATTGAGCATTAGGTGGTGGGATTGGGACTCCAAACTCTTCCTTACGGAGGCTTTTGAGGAGGGCGATCTGCGCTTAATATTCGGGGTGACTGACAATGCAACCCACAAAGTCCAACGTGAAAATGGGGAGCTGGACGGGGTAGGTCACAGGGGGCGCCTGGGTGGCAGCTGCTAGGGGGGCTCGTGATGTGCTTGTACTAGGTGTCTAGAGATAGGGTGCAGGTCCCTACCTGGCCAGCAGTCCCTCCGGAGAGGGCACCCAATGCGGCTCCCTCCTCCCTTTGTCCTCATCCCCTTTTCATTCAGCCCTGTAAGTTCTTCCCCTTGTTATTTGTGGTTCTCGGCTTATCACGAAACTGGTTGGTTTTGTGTTTGTGTGTGTGTGTTTTTTTTCTATTAACAGGCGCATGTTCCCTTTCCTAAGTTTTAATATTTCTGGTCTCGATCCCACGGCTCATTACAATATTTTTGTGGATGTAATTCTGGCCGATCCCAACCACTGGAGATTTCAAGGAGGCAAATGGGTTCCCTGCGGCAAGGCGGACACCAATGTACAAGGCAAGTTCTTCCAATTAACACTTTTCCCGACACATATTTAGGTGAGAATGGTTAATTAAAGCCTTTGTGGACTGGCTCAGGCGACTTCTTAAACGAGAATGGGCCAATGATGCTTTTAAAAAAAAATAAAAAGAGGGAGGGGGGAGTGAAGGGTGTTCAGAAAATGCTATTTTAATCCTCCCCAGTTAAAACGAAGGAAGCATTGCCGGTAAAGCGCTGTTAAGTTTAAAGCGATTCACTGGAGCCCTGTGTGTGCTGCTACAGTTGCAGGAGGGGTGTGTGTGTAAGAATCGTGGTGTGTTTATTTGTTTCTTTAGGAAACCGAGTGTACATGCACCCCGATTCCCCCAACACAGGAGCCCACTGGATGCGTCAGGAAATCTCTTTTGGGAAATTAAAACTTACAAACAATAAAGGAGCATCAAACAACAACGGGCAGGTCAGTGAAACGCACACACGCTCTTATTTGTTGCTTCCAATAAAATCCTGAAAATTCAGATCAGATCCCTGATTTCTTAGGTAAACCATACTGCTAGGGTAAAACGTGCGAGTTTCTAATTCTAACAAGTTAGAATTGTACAGGACTTCCGAGGAAGAAAAAAAATGCTGCACAACCCAGCAACAAAACCCAGACCCAGATCAGAGTTGGGTTATGTGTGTGTGTGCGGGGCATTCTGAAGTGGAGTGAATCTGTAGCTGTCCTGCTAAAAGGGAGCGATGACTAGGTGGTGTCTTAGGGGTGCATTTCGCCTTCTCTGATTATTAATATTAATCCTCTCTGACAGCTCGGCCTCGGCTTTTTATTCAAGCGCTTTAATAAGAAAAAATACCAGTAAACATCCGTCTTTTTTCTCCCTCTCCTCGCTCCAATTTAGCGTTTCTGCCCCTTTGTCCCCCTCCCTTTTCTCTGCCTGACAGATGGTGGTCTTGCAGTCCTTGCACAAGTACCAGCCCCGTTTGCATGTGGTGGAGGTGAACGAAGACGGGACGGAGGATACTAACCAGCCGGGCAGAGTGCAGACTTTCACCTTCCCGGAGACTCAGTTCATAGCCGTCACCGCCTATCAGAACACCGATGTAAAGAGCTTGGCGCTGTATTTCCCTCGCGGCCATCCTCACCCTCAACCGGCCAGCAGCGCTTTAGAGCTTCCGAGGCCGGCTCGTGGGGGCTCCGTGTAGGTGCCCGGGAAGAGAGAAGCAGATACACGCCGTGCAGAGTGCTGGCGCGCGTGTGTGTCTGCGGCAAAGGGGTGATTGAATCCAGCCGGCACCTTTTTATTCCCCCTGCAGGATCCGAGCGGGCTGGACCTAGATGTATAATATATTTGGAGTTGCAATTCTGTACCTTTTGCTAAAATCGTCAAGAATTGTGAGCCCCCAAATCCGCAACACGGGCAAATGTGTGGATCAGATTTCTGTATCTTTGCATTTGCCCTAGTTAGTCTCACGAGCACACACAACTCGGGCGTGACAGAGTGAATATTTCATAGGGGCTCAATAACCATCAGTTTCCACAGTGAACGTCTTCTAAGAAGGCCAAGCAGAAACCCGGGTGCATTTATTATATTAAAACTAGAGTATAATACTTGTCAATAGCCGTTATGTTCCCATTGAAAAGCACACATTTAATCTGAGGTGATTTTTAAGCAAGACTGCAAAGAGCCACAGATGCTGCTGACTGTGTTGGGGGTGATGGTACATTTTAATCAGAATAAAATCCTGTTAATGTATAGACAGATATTTTTTGCTCTCACTTTAAATGGCATGCATTAAAAATCGGTGTATTCTGTTTTCGATTGATAAACCAAGCACAGATACAATAACCTCTTAAAATGTTATATAAAAACACTTGAAATATTCATTTCTTATCCTAAATTTTAACTTTAATTGTGAATAATTACTTTTCAGAATAGACGGTCAAAATTATTTCACATTTTTATCAGTAATTGTAAGACCCATCAATTTTCCTCTAATTAAAACCTTTATAAATAAGCTAAGCTTAGTTTTTATATTTTGAAGAGCGGCCATTTGAGCAACTAATGAAAAAAAGATGGAACAGCCCTGCTTTAAAAATGTGCCTCCTGTACGTTGCCCACTGTCATGCTTTCATTATATATAGGTACGAGAAAATACTAATTGATCCTCTATTTTCCTTCCCAGATCACACAATTGAAAATAGATCACAACCCTTTTGCAAAAGGCTTTCGAGACAATTATGACACGTAAGTAAATTGTATTTTTATTATCCCTCTTATCGGATGCGCCCACATAGGCCGGTAGATACTTTGGTTTAGTATTAGGGGTTGGATTAAAAATCTCTCTAATTATTTAAACATTGAAATATTCAGTATTAAGCTTAAAAAAAAGTTCTCCCAGAGAAGAGAAAGCAAATGCAGGCTCCTAAACTCGGGACTGGATTTCGGGTGACTGAATAGAAATGAAATTCAGTTGTCTCCCTTATTTTTCATGGAAAACTTTTGGTTTTCGCATTAATTTGTACGCCTGAGGCAAATTTGTGCCGAAGAGCTAGCTGGAAGAGGCTGGCTAGCCCATTCAATACAACCTTGTGCAGTTTGGGGACAGATGCTCTTCTCACCCCCTCTGCCTGCATCTGAGGCTGCGTGTGACTTTGGCAGTTGTGATGTTCTTTCTGGCATATGACTTTGTACCCATTTTCAAGTTCCCGTTTATTCAAGCTGTGTATGTAGGCTATGAAATAAGGACCTCTTGAATGGGAGTTAAACTACTGAATATAAATGACTGTTTAAATCATCCTGGACACTATACAGAGAGTTTTAAAGGAAATTTCTTCTGTTTCTCACTCTGGTTTTCATTTTGGCGTTTTTTGCCATTCCTATATATCTATATATATAGATATATAATGGGAAATGTCTTCGTGGAAGGCAAATATACATAGAGTTCATTATGCTTTTATCCAAGATCATTGGCCATACATACTGGTCTAATCTTTGACCGATGGTATGTTGTGATACGGATTTCAAACTTGACTTTAGAAGTTTGCCCCATGCTCCTTTTCCCGCATTCAGTGGAACAGCCCAAAATCTTAACGACACAATGTACACTGCTCAATGGCCCCTGTAAGGAAGGTTTGGAATAGGTAGAATAGCTAAGAGTACCCAAGCTAAGGTGCTATTTCTGAGTTCTTCTGCTTCCCTTTACCCCCAACACTGTACACAGTGGAGAGAGAGCAAAAACAAAAATGAGAATAATGACATTCCACACCCACCTCCGATTGCTGTGACTATAAAGCAATAAAATCAACAAACTGCTCTAGCCCTGGAGTCTAGAAGGGAGAATCATCTAGAGAATGAGTGAGAAGAGCTCCTAACCCAATGCTACTCGGAGACCTGGTGGGAAGTGGGGAACTCAAACATCATGGGAAAGTGCACGGGTTTTTGCTCTCCTAATTTTGCCTGAGCTCCTATTCAATGGGAACAGAGTGGGCTGATCACCTGCCAGGATTGGGCTCTGTGTTTAAGGGGAATATTTTTCTTTTTTCCTTCTGAGTAAGAGAAGCGTATATGTGTTTTAAGGAAATGGAAACAGCCCCCCAGATAAAGCTTCTCCGGATCCCATTGAAGTCAGTAGGAGATTTGCCACGAAGTAAGGCCCACATTGAATAAAGCACTTAAGTATGTACTTAATTTTAAGCAGTTGCGTAAATCTATTCATATTTAGCAAATCAGTTAAATCCCATTGATAATGGGATTTAAGCACACAATTAAAGCTAGGCACGTGCTTAACTGCTTTTCTAAACCAGGGCCTAAAACTGGGATCAAGCTCCTAGAGTGACCACTCTGATTAAATTTAAAGTAGCTGACTGTTAAATCTTACACACATTTATTCTTATTTGGAAAATATAATCGTAGCTGGTTCACTCCCCTTCCCAAAAATGCAATGAAATGTGCAACAAGTGATCAGAGGAAAAAACAGGGGTTCTGGCGATTTTGGTAAGAGCCGCAAAGGAGAAGTAACCTGAGTATTTGAGCATACAGAATAGGTCACTGATGCTGTGCAGAGACTACATGGTCTTTGTAACTTAAATAAGACTTTTCTGTATATAGGGTAGACAATCGATGAACAACCTTCTGGACTTCTCCAACCACAAAATGCCTCTGCTTTCTCTTCTTTTAAATTATAAACTTCACATGTATGTCGCTTTAAAAAGAGCTTAAATGCTGTCTAGCACATCGCATTTGTTTAAGGGCCAACTGTGTTCTGGAAAAGTAATTTCAGGAGGCGTGGAGGGTTAATTAAAGCACAGTTTTAGCTTGAATGAAACGCACACACTAACTATTCATCCATTAATGGTTTTATAAACACAAATTTCAGTCCAAGATTGAAGGATTATATATAGGCTATATTGGAAACAATTGGACGCATCTGCTTTTAAAATTCCTTCAGTAGGTGTTTGAAGATTAGCTGGATTTAAATTCAATAAAATCTGGATAGTTGGTTTGTGACTCTGAATAGTAAGTGTCAAACCGCAGAGATAATTTTTCAGTCTGCCATTCACGCTGTTTGCTACAAATGGACCAGGTTACCTGTTGCGCATATTGTGGGATTGGTCAATTTTCCACAATGCAGGCTTTCCCAAGGTACCATGAAAGATGGCAGGATGTTAGCTGACTTGTGGATTTTAAATAAATAAAAACAAGAAACTTCATCCTTTAAATTACGCCCTTACTAGATATATACACAGCAAACTCGTTTTCAGTTTGTATTTGCCTATTTTTTTAAAAAAAGTAAAATGTTAGATCCACTTTGCGGATGGTGTGTGTAAAAATAATCTGATCTTTTAAACTTTTCTGGCCTCAAATAGCCTCCCCAGTATTCAATATAAAGATGAACCAGAACTGTAGGGATATCTGCCTGGTATGTTTCAGGTTGTCATGTCAATCTGGTCAACTAGTTTCTTTAAATCATTGAATGGTCCCGCTTCTGCACCTGTGCTACACTATTGTGTTTCTGCGTAATGCATTTTCGGGGTATTTCTGTGAAGTCCGAACGGCGCTTTCTCCACTCCGGTCACTGCTGAAACTGGGCTCTCTTGCCAGCGAGTGCATTGGGTGAAATCCTGGCCCCACTGAAGTCAATGACAAAACTCCCGTTGGCTCCAGCGGACCCAGAGATCCATGCAGGGTGCCTGCCTGCGCCCGGCTCTGGTTCAGGACACCCAGAACTCTGCCCTTCTCTTTGGCAGGATCTACACGGGCTGCGACATGGACCGGCTCACGCCTTCCCCCAATGACTCTCCCCGCTCGCAGATCGTGCCCGGGGCCCGCTACGCCATGGCGGGCTCCTTCCTGCAGGACCAGTTCGTGAGTAACTACGCCAAGTCCCGCTTCCACCCGGGCGCTGGCGCTGGCCCGGGACCAGGCAGCGACCGCAGCGTGCCCCACACCAACGGGCTGCTCTCTCCACAGCAAGCCGAGGATCCTGGGGCCCCGTCTCCGCAGCGCTGGTTTGTCACGCCGGCCAACAACCGCTTAGATTTCGCGGCCTCCGCTTACGACACGGCCACTGACTTCGCTGGCAATGCCGCCACCCTGCTGTCCTATGCAGCGGCCGGGGTCAAGGCGCTGCCCCTGCAGGCCGCTGGTTGCACTGGGCGGCCGCTGGGCTACTACACTGACCCTTCGGGATGGGGGGCGCGCAGCCCCCCGCAGTACTGCAGCAAATCCAGCTCCATGCTCTCCTGCTGGCCCAACAGTGCAGCCGCTGCCCGAATGGCCACCAGCAACCCTTACCTAGGGGAGGAGGCGGATAGCCTGGTCACCGAGAGATCCCCCTTGCCGGGCGCTGAGGACTCCAAGCCCAAAGACTTGTCTGACTCCAGCTGGATCGAGACCCCCTCGTCCATTAAATCCATCGATTCCACCGATTCTGGGATTTACGAGCAGGCCAAGAGGAGACGGATCTCGCCCTCTGACACCCCGGTGTCGGAGAGCTCCTCTCCCCTCAAGAGCGAAGTGCTGACCCAAAGGGACTGTGAAAAGAACTGCGCCAAGGACATCGGCTACTATGGCTTCTACTCCCACAGCTAGACTCTGCCCCGTCCCCGTGCTTCGCTCTGTAGTCGGTCTCACACCGCCACGATCTCCAGTGAACACAACAGTCCTTTTGCACAACAACGTTTCAGCAGTTAGCGCACTGATCCTAACTTTAGCTGTATCTTTTTATTTCCCCCGTGAGAGAGTTTTAGCTGTAATCCTCGCTCCCTGTTTCCCTTTCTGAAGTGTAAAGAAACCCTATAACCCCTTTAGGAGATCTTGACATTCTTTGGCACCCGGTGCTGGCGCTGATATACGAAAGCAGCAATTCTGCCGTTGAATCTCCTTCTAATTCTCCTAACCCCATTGATGAGCAGGATGACTGACTCTCAAAACCATACAGCGCTTCTTTCCTTTTCCATGGATGGATAGTTGGGGATGTTAGTAATGTTAGTGGAACAAAGCCTGTGAAACGCCTGTACATAGTGTTTAATTTATTGTAACGAATGACTATACTTTTTGTTCCCATTGTGAAGTCCCAAAACTAGATCATGTTTAACTTTCTCGATTTCTCCTTTCCCAACCCCCAAAGTTCACTCTCTGTTCTAAATGCCTCTGGAAACACAAAATGTCCCATAGAAATAGCACTGAATAATGGGTTTCACACTTCCTTACAATCCCTCGCATAGAATAAATTACTCTGTGCCCCGGGCTGACACAGCTAAGGAGTATCTGTGTTTGCCCCTCAAAAGAATAGAAATCTATCTAGTTGGAAAGTCGATTAAGTAGCAGGACGCCTTCAAACAGCGAAGTAACTGCATCTGTAAATTTTTTTTTCTTAAAGAGGAGTAGCTCGATAGCAACGTTATTTTTGCCCTATTTGTTCCTCCCACCCCTCAAAGTGCCAAATCCATTACTGGCCTGTGCAGGTGCCAAATATGCTGGCAAACAGTTTTCAAATTTCTTTGCAGTTTCTCCCCCTTCATTTATATTTCTGTAAATCGTTGTAATGAATAACCTACAAACGATATAGACGACTGAATTGTTGGTAATCATAGTGTAGTCCAGTGAAGATGAGTTGTGAGTTGTATATTTTACTGCATTTAGTTTTGGAATTGACTTTTTCATAAAGTAGATAACTGAATCTAACTTTCTGGGGGTACTGTAAGTATTGCGAGTAAGAGTGATCTATCATCCTCTACGCCTCGCTACGTTTGAGAAGGAGCATTAATAACCCCCAAGCTCTCCCCCGTGAAAGTAGAATAGTAAGTCTTTGAATTCTGAGTAGTAAATCTATACAATTAAATCATTTTTATAAGGAAAAAAAAATCAAGTAAAATATGCATCAGGCAAAATAGTCAGCCAAGATTCCAGCCGACGGGGAATTTTTCCTAATAGAAATTCAGGGTCATAAACGTGTGTATATTTTTGGCTCCTCTGTAAATCAAATGTTGTGATTTTTATATTTGTTCTGTTATGTGTGTGGAACTGAATGATTTATACAAGTGCAAGCTCCATTGAGATGTTTTGTTTTTTGCCCGTTTGTATTGTCTGTGTATAACAAGTAAAATAAACCTGGCAAAACGTTAACGTGGTGTTTGAAAGCAGTTTGCGTTTTACAAAGATGCAATTGAAATGATCTAAATGGACTGGGGGAAGAAATCCCCTGGATACTAATAGCAGCTCACTTTCTAACCTTTTCATGGGTTTCGAGTGATAGATTAAAAACATGCGGTGATTCCATTGTTTCCCTGTCCTATAGTGTTGTGTAGTTCCAGGTTTGCATTTCTGCTTTCCCGGAGGGGCACAGGGGAAGTGGGAGTGGAATGCTTTCTCCTTTCCTATCGCCTGACCAATGTATTGACTTGAGGTCACTAGGAAAAGGGAGAGAGGGTTGAAGTCTTTTCGGAGTTGAGAGGTTTATACCTAAACAATTCTCTACACGTAAAAAGCATTTTGCGAAACGCAGCCTTGTCTTACGTTTGTGTGCGGAGTAGGGGCTGAGCGCTTACGGGACGGAAGCTGTGGCTATAGCAATGGTTTGACACAGTGTCCCCTGAGGTGAGGTTATTGGAAATGCGAGCCCAGGAGGTGCCACTCGCTTTAAAGGCTGAGTTCGTTAGCATTGGCTGGAGCTTTGGAGCAGGACGCCAGACGCATTTTGAGCCTGCATTGTGTGCTGGGTTAGGCTTCCATCCACTCTCTTTGCCCATTTTCTGGTAGCGATGGGAGTTGGGGACTAAGTAGCTTTGTATCCTCTGGTGTTTTTGTGCGGTGTGTGGGCTCTGTGAGCGCCACTCCGGGGTGGTTCCCTCGGTGGAGATCGGAGGGATGGCACCCTGAAGAGCAAACGTAAACATGTCCCCCCTTTCATCACAGCGAGAGCGAGCATCTTTCTAGCCCAGGGACAGTGCCGAAAATCCTTTCCTGCTTGCTGCAGGTAGCTGCATCTCATTGCTCAGTGATGCTGGTGTGCAAAGCCAATGCACGTCGGCCGAAAAAGTGATTTCTTTAGCCACTTTTAATAGCGCCTCGTCTCTGTCCCAGTGGCTTAAATGTTGAGGAAGGGTTAAAAGAAAAGTTTGAGGAAATGCAGAGAGAAATCGAAAATAATATATAGAGACCCAGCCACAGCATCACCCGGAGGCTGTTGACTGTACCACTAGTCACCACTAGGCGGCTCTGTGCTGAGCCTTATTTTGTCTACCACAAATGACAGTATTTTTTTCTGTTTTTATATTAAGAAAAGGGGACTTTAAACAACACTAATGGTTCCAAATAGCAGGTTATTGTAGGCTGTGTGTACTCTATGCTCCAAATGCCATCTTTCGGTGAGCTCCACGTGTACTACGGGGTTCTCGGTGGCATAAACTCCAGCTCCAGACCCTTTCCACCCGAAGGCCTCTGTTTGACTGCACAGAAACACGACCTGGTTGCCACACAACTTCTCGGGGAACTGGGATGGCTGTGCAGGCACTGGGTCTGCTGTCCTCTCTGCTCAGTGGCAGAGGGGAACGAGCCCCGAGTAAAGCGGAGAGAGAAAACGCGCTGCAGACCCCACGGCCAGGTGTTGCTGGTTAGACTCCAGGCGTGGCTTGTAAGCCCTGTGGAGGGGCGATGTTAGGCGGGACGGTTCCCGTGCAGGGAGGCCGCTTTCTCTGCGGCATGGACGGGATGAGCGCGAGGAAACTCCGCACCTATTTGCCGTTCGTTAGCCCGCGAACTTCCACCGCCCTTCGCGGGGCGTTTTACAAAGCTGCGGGTCAGACGTGTGGGGCCGCATTGCCAATGAGTGTAGGCGAGCGGGAGGGACAGGCAGCGGCTGCGTATCTACGCCAGGTCCCAGCACCTGCTCCCCGAAGGAGCTGCGCACAGCTCTGTATCCGCTCCTGCCCCGGGGGGCAATCTAGGCAACGTTAGAGCAGGTAGACAAACTCGGACTTGAATTATTGCCAGCAAAGGGCTCTAAATTCTCAAGGTCAACCTGCTCTGAGGTCCAGACGCAGCACGCACTGATGTGTGGTTTTAAAGGGACCTCATTTTCCTGGTGCTGATGGTGTAGCTTTTCAGAAGTAGTCTAGGAAGAGAGTAGAGGCGGGAAACTGGGATGAGGATGACTCGCATTACTGTCTGGCTTTTGCTGTTGAAGTGTTGCCATCCTACAGACAGATTTGAGGCAATGGAGTGGTTTACTTTCTTTTAATCTCTCACTGACTTTGGCTGTGAGGTAAATGTTCAGGCACGCGTTAGTTACCCATACCCCCTTTTCAGTCTCCACTTGAATATCACATCCAGCGGCTCTTCTAACTGTAACCCGAAATGCAGCCATTGATCTCCACGTGGGAAGTCTTGAGCATTTTATAAAAAGCAGATCTATTAAAGCCATAGCTGGTGGAGAACAGCCTATGCTTTTCTAAAGATTAATCCAGCCTCTTGGATTCAAGGCAAGTGCGGCACAAACTGAGAAGCAGAATTGTAACCCAATGGCTGAACAGTAATGTAGGTGTTCAATAGGATTGTTTTGCTAGATTCTGCCTTAAACCTCCAATCTCAGTCTTATTTCAAATAGTGAGGATGCGCTTAAAAATTAAAAAATGCAGCAATCTAGAGGACTCTCCTGAGGAGCAGACAGCCGCATAAACAAGCCCCCCACCCGACCCCAAGGCGCTCACCATCTAATGCTAAATTCAGAGAGGCATGAATCTCTCAGCCATGCCGTCTGCGTTCGAATGGGCAGGGTTGCTAAAGCAGGTGCACGCAGCCGGGCATGCTTGGAAGCGCCTGATTCGTGTGCACACAAATTTGCTCACGAAATCAGGTGTTTCTTGGGCTCCCCGTCAGTAAGGTGCCTACCGGGGCACTTGCCTGCGCCAATACCAGATTTCCGGTCATGACACAGACCTTCCTTTGAAAATCTGCCCAGAATTTACAATGGGTAACCACCAAAACATTTCGCAAGAACGCGGTGAATGACTATGTTACTATAAGGAATGGTGGAATTTCATGCGCCCCCTTCCCCCCCTCCCCCAGACACAGCAACAACACGGCTATATTTTTAACAGTACCGTCGGAAATAATTCCAGGTATTGCCCATCAGCCAAACCAGTTATTACATTTGATTAATTTTTAACGTAATTGTCCCACTATCGCACTAAACAAAAGCGAATTAAAGTTCACACTCGGAGGTAAACCCCTGATCTCCTTTTTGCTTAACCAGAAATATAAAATGCAGCTTCTGCCTAAAAAAATATAGACAGTAATTTTGTACACAGCACCAGCTCGCTTATCGGAATGATTTGAGGGACATTAACATGTTCGGATAATCTTGTGGGCTACTGAGTAAATGAATAATGTCTGGGGATTGATCTACATCTTGGGGTACAGAGTTTGCATAAATAGGCTTTACTGTACATAACTGGTTAATATTGTAATTCCACAATTATTTCTACAGGAGATTTGAGATCAAAAGTTTCACTGAAGTAGAAAAGGCTTACTACGTTCCGTAGGTAGGTAAAACAATCTTTTTAGTAATATTACAGGTGTGTGTGTGTGTGTGTGTGTATATATATATATATATATATATATATATACTACATATATATATA